GTTTCTGCTCCCCACTCTGTCTCTGGTGAAGCCTCTCGCCGCCCCTGAGCCTCTGGCCTGTACCCCAGTTCTGTATGAACAAATAAATAAATCTTAAAAAAAAAAAAAAACAATGATAAATCTTAAAAGCAGATAGATAAGTAAAAGCTCATTATATACAGAAACACAGATATCAAACTACTAGTAAAAAGAATTGTAACTCAGAATACTGAATAATAATTAAAAAATCCTGTAAACAAAATTTTATACTGTGAAAATAGCTTTTAAAAATTTGGGAGTATACAGATTTTAGATATTCAACTACCAGATAACAATGTAAATGTATTTAAATCCATAGGACCATATCCCTAAACATAAGATAGCAAATTTGTGTTATGTATAAATTAATTTTTAAAAAGTGATCTTTGTTTGTTTTATTGCAACTTAAAATGTTTTTAATTAAAAAGAAAGCTACTTTAAAAGATTACCTTAAAACAAAATAACAATGTACTGTTGAGAGTTTATAAGAAAGGTAGAAGTAAAATGTATGACAAATGCAAAAGGCTTGAAGAAGAGACATTGAATTATAAAAAGTTAAGTATTATAAGCCCTAAAGTCACTTCTAAAAAAGCAAAAAAAGTCAGTTTACAACTAGTATGTCTAGGGAGATAAAACAGTACTAAAAAAATGGCCAGAAAAATACAAAATAAGGCAAAGAAAACTTAGCTGTTCAAAAAAATAATGAACAGCTAAGGCAAACAGAAAAATGGCGTAGATAAGCTTAAATACAGTCAATGCTGAAATTAAATGTAAATGACATAAACACTCCCAATTAAAAGGCAGAAATTTTCATATCAATACAAAAGATAAGATCCAATTAAATCTTCTACAAGAAACCCAATTAGATATGAAGACATATAAACAGAAAAAGTATATACCATGTTACAATTAAAATCAAAGTTGATTTCAGAGGAAAGAATCAAGGTAATTTCACAATGAAAGAGTACAAAAAACATGGGATATTGATGGAGGACACATACAATGAAGATTATGAAGTAGGGTTTTTCATCCAGGGCCTACTGACACTCTGGTAGGGCATATTAATTCTCCATTGTTTGGGGCAATCCTCTGTACTGCAGAATGTTTAGCAGCATCCCTGTCCTCAAACCACTAGGTACATTCAGCAACCAGACTGTAACAACAGTCTGCAGTCACTGCCAAATGGCCCTTGAGTGTAGGGGGTGGTTGTGGCAAACTGTACCTGGTGGAGAACCACTGCTATGGAAGCATCTGCTTAGAGGGCTCTCTTTAGAAAACACTCCTGAAGAAGAAGCAACTATTTTTCTTTTGTTAAGTTCAGGAAACGAGATTTAATACTTTATTTGAAAATACTTATTCAGCATGTGCCATTCACAGAAAGATTTTTGTCCATTTTTCATCTGTGTATGTGTGTGTGTGTGTGTCATACACAACACACATCCAATGTATCTACCCATTGAAATTGAAGGAATGTTATTTGTGGTGGGATTTTTGGTGATATTTTAACTTTGTACTCTACATTACTTGACTATTCATAGCAACTAAGAATCATTCTACAAAAACAAATAATTATACTGGAAAATAAAAATCTAACAGAGGCATTAAAAAAAATTCTATTAACTAACACCATTGTTGAGATAGGGGTAGGGAAAAGCACAGAAGGAGGTAAACATCACTAGTAATGCTGTAGTTAAAGGACTAGCTCAGGAGGTCCATACATGTTTATGAGAGTGTTTAGAGTGAGCACCAAAGAGAATGTTAGGCATAAGTGAATGCTTGATTATTATCAGTCTAATTCTCAACCACTTAACAATACAAATAAAAACATAAATAAAAAACCTAATGCTCCAATATTTACAGAGCAGTACTACTAAATAGATGAATTTTACCGCTTTCATAGTTTTTTCATAGCTTAGAAATTTTCTAGTTATTTTATCAGTGAGGAAAATGCTAAGCTTTCAGGAAAAAAAAAAAACTTCAGCAAAAATTGGGCCTTAAATGTGAACAAAGGAACAATGTAATTTGTTTTAGTTTTTGCCTAACAGATCGAATTTAATAATTTGAATACTTTTAAACATTGTATAAACTTTAAATGTGTCAAAAACACCAAGTAAATGAGCTAGCTGACTGTAAAGGCTGTGGGAAGAAATGTATTTCTATACTTCAAGGCAAATTCCCCTTCAACAGATATGGAACAACACTAAAATTGAACAATTTAGGAATAAGAAAAGGGAACAGATTTAGACAATAATCTACAACTATGATGAGCAACCTTGCTTATTTAGTTTCTCTGCCAGTGATCCAATGATCTAAAAACTGGAAGGTAAGAAAATTGCCTCACCTTACCAAATTACCTCAATACTAACAGTGACTAAAAGGCAGGTGTCAGTTTTAACTCCCACATTTCTCCACTTAATGAAGGTGTGAAACTAAGCTGTAAAAACAATAGTAGGAATAACAATTTTTCCATATTCCATTTTCTTTCCGATTAAAAACATATTTTTAAAAATCCTTATAACTTTATTTTTTTTAAATAATAATTGTCCTTGAGGCAAAGACTATTTCTCACTGATCTGAAGGAAAAAAAAAAAGTATTCCTTCCTTTTAAAATCTTTACTGTATACAAATAACATGTCTTTTCGAGAATTGGACAAATCTGACTTTATAAGTAATATATGACATTTTAGAAAACCAGCTTTTCTTTGTAATTATAATAGTATTATTGAGCTAAACGTGTTTACTATATAACAGTCAACAGATTCAAGTAATTTCTTATTGAGATAAAAGTGTATCAGAGTCCTTGCCTAATTGCAATAAGAAAAAATAACAACCACGAGAATGGCCAGGGTTGGAGTAACATCACATATTAATATTGGACATTTATAGTTCAGCCCATATCAAGAACTTTAAAAGAAGTGAGGTATATAAAATTATCAAAATGCTGGCCAAAGTAATACCTGAGTCGTCTGCAAAGTCAAACAAGAAATCATTAGAACTGGAATTTCAAAAGCATAGATTAAATAAATAATTTGAATCCATATGTCTTGCACCAAATTACAAATACCCTTGTTAACTCTAAAGGCAATGTTTCACGGGGTGGGGGGAAGTGATGGTTATTTTATCCTGAAGATCAAATGCAACGTACCCCTAATTAAACATGAAATTTCAGGTTACAAAAGCATGTTTTATGTTAAATAAAAAGTCCCAAGAAATCCAATACTATAGATTTGGCCAGCTTTTCCTGATGGATAAAATATGAGCATTAGAGTAATTTTCTCTTCTCGCGAAGGCCGCAGAGTTAGGACTATTTATTTCAAAACGATATTATTACATCGATATACTACGAGGCTGTCCTAAATAACGGGCACTTCTTAACTGTTCTGCGCGACAGAACAAAGAGGCCGACAAGCACCCAGGAAGGCAGTCTGAGATCGCTGTGAAGAGGGTACCTTATAGAAAAAAGGGGTCCTAACAACCTTTGTAAAAGTGGTCAGGCAGACGCCGAGAAAAACATTAAAAAAAAAGAATAACCTGGGGCAGCTGTCACAAAAGATGGGTGGGGGAGGGAGACTACCAGCTTTCTCCTTCATTCCTCCCATCGGGGTCATCTTCCCATCTCTACCTCTATTCACGGCCAACCCGGTCAGCATTTTGCAAGACTCAGTGCCCAGAAGCGGAGTTTCAGAGACTGAAGGAGATGGAGAGAAAATGAAGACTACAGACACGCCAGTCTGGGTGGGGTACCGCGTTCCAGCCCAGACTCTTAGCCCTTCTTGGATCCCTTTCCCTGTCACCTCTTACGCTAGCACCCCCAAAGGACGATAAAAACCACTTACCCAGCTCGCCATGGAGCACAATCCCAAGACGCTCCCCATCGTCTCAACGTCTCTAAACACTGACACTGACAAGATGGAGACACCGCCTTTCGGGGCTTATTTACTATCTGGGAGCCTCTTCCGGTGCGGAGCCCACCCCGCCCCTCATCCTTGCGTCACTTCCTTTTAGACTGGGAGGAGAAGGATGGACCAGGCGTCGCAGTGAGGTTGCGCATGCGCGTCTCTGGGACACTGGTCCCTGGACGAAATTATCCAATACAGCGTGTGGAAAGCGTCTGATTAATACTGGACTGAGCGTAGTTTGCCAAATTAACAAAATGCTGTGAGACAAATTCACATTTATTACTACTTATTTGAATTTTGGTGTTAATAGAGGATAAAGTGTAGGCTGTAGTTGATGTTTTGCCCTCCTGCATCATGGGAACCTCTTAAGCCTTTTGCAGAAATTGATTTCTCTTTCTTGGTACTCACCGTCCTACACTTACTGCTTGTTTTTCCAATTTTGCGTCTCTTTTTTTCTTCCCTCTAATTTTGTCAGTAAGCTTTATTGAAATGTTTGAGATGATGTAAGCTTTTTACCACAAGTTTCTTAAGGACATTTTAATTTCTTATCCTATTAAGATGTTTTGAACAGTTTGCACAATAAGTTTTTAATTAGTTATATGTGAGGACACACTAAATCTAAAAACTCAAACATACTTAACTTTATTGAATGCCACAAGCTGTTGGGACATTTGGAACCCTTTTTAGGTGATAATGAACATCTTCAGGAAATATAGTAACATAAAAATCCTAGTTATTGTTTATTGTGATTAGTCCCTGAGGAATTCTGGAAGAGTAGTAATAACTGTACTAATAACTTAAACTAGGAAGAGTTATTACTAGTATTACTAGTTATTACTAGTAACTAATAAAGTTTTGGGGTTTTTTTGTTTGTTTTGTAAAATGTACAAATGAATGAAGGAGCAAACACCTAGGAATCTGGGAGAATTGCGAGCACTAATGGATAGCAGTTAAAAAGGAAGGGATAGGACTGGATGAAATATAATGGATTTAGTTTGAGCATGTTGAATTTGAAGTCTAAAATGTTACCTCTCACTACTTGAAAATGCCAAACTGAAAATCAAGAGCTCTTCAAATATAAAACTTAAAGTAATTTACTTGCACTTCTAGTGGAATATATGGAAAGAGAAGTGTTGATGAGGTACTGGAGACCTTACTATGGAACTAGTAGGAATAAAATTTATTACTCTGTTTTCTTATGATGTGACCTGGTTCAAAGACCAACCTCAAGAATATTTTTTGAGTGGATAATTTCTAAAAGCATCAGAATATGTTTCTAATAATAATGTTATAATATTTTTGGGGAACTATCTAAGAAATATTTCAAAAATTGTTGACTGGTATTGCACTTTATATTTTTGTGATTGATTCTGGTAAATTAACGTTTTGAAGTATCTAAGAACATATGTTCCTTACATTTTCTAAACATAAAGTTTGACTTTGAAAATCCTTTTTTCTTTGGTACATGCTAAAGTAGTTTAGAAATACTGTTGGAAGAAAAGATGAACTACATAACCCTCTGGCAGTTTTAAAATATCTTTCTTTCATAACTGAGCTTTTAATCAATGCATGGCATTAAAGAGGTTAAGGTTACCTTTTTTATAGCAATATTCAGAGCTATTTGCAAATGAAAGATGGAATATGTAAACTTTAACATTCAGATTAATATCATGAAAAATCAATAGCCTCTTAGGGAATTTCAGAAGACAAAAATCAGAATAGATAATCACAATAGTGGGCTCAGAAAATTTTGGAATACTATGTAGGCTGGTATTTCCCCTCAACAGTCTGGATTCATTTTCCCATTTGGATAAAAAAAAAAAAAAAGTGCCCAGTAGACATGATTGTGATAATTTTAGTCCAAAGAAAATGTAAAACAGGGTTACCAAACTTCTTCTGTAACAATAAAAATTTTAATTATCATTCATAAAAATGAATATAAGCCTCTACAATCCCCAAGAGTAACATGCCCAAAATCTACCTTGGCAGTTAAATAAGTTACTGTGAAATATAGGCTATGGAATAGCATTCATTTAACTGCTATGACTCAATGTCCCAAATAATAATTTTGGTTTTAAAGTTTATCTGCTTGGCACTAATTCCATGGCAGTGTACAGGGAAATACTTAGCTTTCTATTTCCTATGGCAGTCCCTATTTGAGTTTAGTGAAAAAAAGGATTGTAATTTATCTCTGCTTTATACTACTCTGGAAGTTACTGTCTGATTGTTAAAAATCAACCCTATTATGCCTAATGCTTAGATTATATTAAAATATAAGCTATGACAAACAAGAATAGCTAGTTCAAGCTTCATATTGAACCCAAATAGATTGATGGTATTCCTCCAGAATAGGTGTAATACAAGATTATTTTACAAAATTGATTATAACATGCAGTTATGCCCAACTTTTTAATCTATACTGACTACTATTAACAGACAATATGGAACCAACATCCTGCACTTCATGAACTTTGTAAGCTTCCTCCTGAACTGCTCCAGTTATAACTCCCTGAAGATTAGCACAGTTACACCTCTTAAGTGGTTTGCTATACTTCCTTTCCTCATATCTCTGCAAAGTATAAACTGGGGAAATCAGTTCAGTGGTTCATACAGTAGGTGTAAATTTAAGGTGCACTAGGAGTGTACAGAGTTCCTCTTGTCATTTGTCGACATGACAGTTTCACTTGCGCTTTGGCTGCTGCTGCTTTCTACTTTCTAAAGTATCTAGCAGTTTTCCACAAGACCTTTCCTTCCCTACTATCTGTTGTTGTTTGTTAGATGTTAGTAGTCTGTAACCTTTCATTGTCCCTAAATTCTTCATCCATATCCATGAATAAATACTTCTCATTTTGCACATTATATTAAAAATTCCCTTCTAACCTAGAATCATTCATCTACCAAGGTTAGCTGAAATTAGACTTACCTTTGGTCCCAAGACCTCAGCATTTACACACCTCTCACTGAACAATTAAAAAGTTAATTTCTCAATGGATTATAGGAATGAAATATTGTGAGAATATATTTTTATGACAACAATCAAATCAGGCATAAATTAGAAATCGTGCTTCTTAGTTCCTCTGCTCTAATTAGACCAACACAAACTAATGTGGGATATAACACTGTAGGTCCTCAAAATAAATTGTGTTAAAGGATGTATAAGTTTTGTGCAGAGTTCATATTGTTGAATACAGGGAGGGAAATATATGAAAAGTATTTTATGACTTTAACCCTGAATTGATTAAACCCAAAATGTAAACATTTTCATATATTCCACCATATGTTCTATAAGAGTATGACAGAAGTATAGATTAGGACATAATAACCTATAGGGGTCAGTATTGACTTAGAATTGGAAAAGACTTGATCCCAATTACAGACATGCTTTTGTCAGTTGAAAGCTTCATATAATTCATCCACTTGGGTCTCTACTCTTCATTGCTTCATTTCTTCATTTTTCAATCTTTTTCCTTTCCAAATTATTTTCAGTGTCTAACTGTGAACACACACCTGTTTTTTACAATTCTGCTTTAGTAATAAAGACAGTCAAAACAGTAGGGTTTTTTTTCTGAATAACTTTTTCCATTCATTGGAGATAATAGAATGAAAAGTTCTCCCTTTCCTTATTTTCTGTAATATATCTTTTAAAATTCCCTTTTTGATATCACTTTTCCAATTAGAAAAGTTTTTTTCTAATGATACTGATTTGTGACTAGAAAAATGTTATACAATCACTTTTCTATTTGTAACCAACCATCTGATTGTTTTTTCTAAGTGTTACATTAATCTTAAAAAGGAAAATATATATTAGAGGAATATAAACATCCATAAATCTGTTAATTCAGGTTTATTCCTCCCAATTTTCTTGTTATTTTTTTCCCCCCAGGGTAGAGCAGGAACAGAGCCCACCACTACCACAAATTATGCAGCCTCACACTTGGGGAAATCATAAGTGTCTCATATTCCAGCACAATGAAATTGGGAAAACCACCATTGTGACCATCTCCCATGCCAGGTATATATTTTTATGTTTTTTAGTTCTTTTGTCCTTACTTTTTTTGTTTACTAGATAAATTCAGTTATAGGTAGAAGCAATTGAATATCTCACCATAAGTTTTTAAATCACATATTTTTTTGCATTTCTTGTAGTATTTAGTTGTATTTAGCTGCTGCACTTTGATGTGTTTAGATTTATAGTTACATTACTTCAATTATGACTTTTATTACTACACTACATTCTTCTTCTTTATTCCACTAAGTGTTGTACCTTTTTATCTACCTCTCACCAGCACTTATATTATTTCTTTTGAATGGTTTTAAATGTTACATTTGAACTCCTGCTATTTTAACTGAAGCAATCAGCATTTTTATTTTTTCCCTTATACTTCTTACCCAATATTTGTTATTTTGCCACTTTTAAGGCAGGTGGGGGGCACAGAGAGACATTTACATTTTTTTCAATTCCCACCAGACCTTTCTATATTTATTTTAATAGTAGCATATTATAGTCAGTGTTCACCTGACTTTCTTGCCTTAAAGTTTAAATCTTGTTTAAAAGTTCAGTGACTTTTTTAAAAAAGATTCATTTATTTATGCATACAGAGTTGGGGTACAAGCAAGAGGTGCAGGGGTAGTGAGAGGATTCACCACAGACAGAGTGGGGAGCAGAACAGGAAGATCCACAAGGTACACTGTTGAGGGGAGCAGAGGGAGAGATCAGAGGTCTGCCAAGCCATGTGGGTCACCTCTGGGTCGGGGATAAACTCATGCTGAAGTGCTTTAGCTTCTTAGTGCTGTGCTTTAACCTGCTGTGCCACCAGGATGGTCCCAAAAATTTCAGTGACTTTTAGTAGGCTATGTTTTGGTACTGAACATTCTGTATCAAGATTCTCAAGTATGGGAAACTTTACATGGGTAGACTCAATTTTTTTCTTTTTTTCTGAGAAATTTGTCTTGAATTATAATTTAATTTTCTGTATATGCTACTATGCACTATATATGTCTTTCTTTTTAGAAACTCCATTTGTTTATATGTTGAATGTATTTTGTTGAACCTATTTTGTCTACTTATTAAGAATGAGTACTTATACTGTATCTACTTATAC